TTTTTTTGTCAGAGGGAGGTGGAAGTCCTACCTGGGCCCGGGTCCAATACCGGTGTGTATCTGGGCGCAACTGCTATATGGGAGTCTACCTCGGCCCAGGTGCAAGGCTTGAAGATTTGTTTTTTTTTTTCCCCTGTTTTCTCTAGCACGAAGTGAGCCTGGACCTGCTCCGTGTGCTTTGGTTTACCTGGGTGTAGCCTTTTGCTTGCCTTTTTTCTTTTTTTGTTTACCCCAGACCTGGACCCGTACATACACGCGAAATCTGGACCCAGACTACGCGTGGACCTAACACTGGACCCGGACTACTCGTGGACTTGAGGCTGGACCCATACTACACGTGGACCTAAGGTGGACCTGCGTAGTTGGGTCTATGCCACGATCTGGTCCTGGACCTGGGCTTGGATCTGAGCGTGGGCTTGGACCTGAGCGTGGACTTGGGCCTGGACCTGACCTCGGACTTGGGCCTGGATGTGAGCCTGGACCTGGGTCTTGACCTGAGCATGGAGCTGATCCTGGAACTCGGCCTGTTCTCAGGTTTAGCTGGGTCCGGAGCCTGGTCCTGAGCGTGGACTTGAGGCTGGACCTGACCTAGGCGTGGACTTGAGCCTCGAGCTGAGCCTGGACCTGGGCGTGGCCCTGAGCCTTGACGTGAGCCTGGACCTGGGTGTGGAGCTGGGCAGACGGGCAGACTCAGGACAGCAAGGCAGACATACAGGTAGACATGCACACAGAAAGCCACACAGACATACAGGCCGACATGCACACAGAAAGCCTGGACCTTAGTCTGGACCTCAGTCTGGACCTGAGTCTAGACCTCAGTTGGACTAGGACCTGAGCTTGGACCAGGACCTGAGCCTAGATCTGCCCGTGTTCAACCACGCAATCACCCAACCACCTAATCAACGACCTAACCGAACCAGACTGGCCCTGAATCCTGGGTGTTTGGTCCAGGCCTAAGGCGCTGCTGGGGCCCAGACATATAGGCAGGCAGACAGGCAGAAAGGCAGACAGACAGATGTGCATGCAGGCAGGGAGATAGGCATGCAGACAGGCATACAGGCAGACAGCCAGGCAGATAGGAACACGTAGAGATGGACAGACAGACAGACAAACTGATCTTTTTTTTTTTTTTTTAGCACGGACCTGGAACCATACATAGCCTGCTGTATCTGTGTCTGTGCGTCTGTCCATCTGCCTGTTCTGAAAGCCCAACGCTGCAAGTGCTGCCCGATGTCCAGTTCCCGGGGTTGACCTACCGCTGGTCTGCGGGTCTGTACCCGTTGATCTGGGTCTGGGCCCGGGTTGTTAATTGGGTCTGGGTCTATGGCCCTTTGAGTGGGGTATGGGCCAGAGTCCCATACCTGATTTTTTTTTTTAGGCACGCAGGCACGCAGGCACGCAGGCACATAGGCAGGTAGGCAGACAGCCACACAGGCAGGCAAGCAGACAGGCTGACAGGTGTCTGCCGGTCTGTGTGTCTGTCTGTATGTCTGTCTTTCGATCTCGGAGGTGTTGACGTGACAGGTGGAAGTCCTGCATAGGGACACAGGCATTGACGTAACAGGTGTTGACAGGTGTTGAGGTGACAGTATGGACCTTGGCCTGTTCTCAGGTTTACATGTGCCTGTGCCAGGACCTCAGTCAAGGGGTTAAAAAAAAAAAAAAAAAAAAAAAAGGAAGACAAGCATGTGTTTGACTGTTTGGGCCCAGGTAACAAGTATGGGCCCGGGTTGTTGATTGGGTCTGGGCCTATGCCTCTTTGAGTGGGGTATGGGCCCAGACCCACAGGTCTGCCTGTTCTGAAAGCCCAGCCCTGGACCTGTGGGTCTGGGCCTGTGCCCCTTTGACTCTCCCCATTCGGCATTGGAGTCTTCAATTTTGTCTTTTTTTTCTTTATATAAATCATGTCTCTCTCTCTCTCTCTCTCTCTCTCTCTCTCTCTCTCTCTCTCTCTCTCTCTCTCTCTCTCTCTCTCACACACAGACACAGATACACACACACACACGCACACACACACAAATACACATTTAAGTCGTGTCTTTCTCTCTTATTTAAGTTGTCCCTGTCTGTATCTCTCTTTCTCTTTCTCGCTCTCTCTATCTTATTTAAGTCGACTCTCTATCTTATTACATTGTAATACAGGTTAGATTCTCGTATGATTTTGTTATTATTCATATATTCATTGTTTTTTTCGTGGTGGTCTCTGCAGACAGACAAGTGTCTGATGAAACCAACGTGGTGGTGGACAGATGTACGGAAAGGGGGGTGGAGGGATCATCGCGGTCTAATCGGGATAAGGCCGCGTACATTGATGTATCCGAGGCATATGACCATCCGCTCATTAAATTTCACCTGCAAGATAAGTACTTTGAGAAGTGTGAGGAATGGTACGAGTACAACGCGGCGAACGAGATTCATGAGAGAGAACAATGTTTGCATGAATCTCAGCCTAAACTGCGGTATGGTGTTGAAGGTAAGGTTCCCAGTGATTTTGCGTTGAAGAGGGTATGTGGCCGCTACCTCACAGACAATGAAGGACTTCGATAGACTCAGGATGAGTTGCTACAAATGTTGAAGAAGGAGGAGGAGGAAGTGAATGCATTGAGGAATGCATTTATGAAAGTTGAGTTGAATGCACGGGGAATGGTTGAAAGTTTCATTGAAGCGAAACGAAGTGAAGAGGTAAAAGATTCCTCTGTGTCCGATGTTGGGGTTGTGAAGAAGGAGGCGGATGCTGCTGAGGAGATGGACAAAGAGTTTAAGCGTTTAATTCAATCGTTCATTACAAACGATTTGTTAGACGAAGTTTGTCAGCTTAGTACTAGAGTTCAGCCGCACCTGTCGCGGGAGTGTGAGGATTTGCGTCGGCGATTAGAAGAACCGGAGAGTGGGGTGAGAAAAATATTGTTGAGAGGTGCTTTGCCATCGGTTGATGCTTCTTTTGCCTCGGACCTCTTTGACATTCCATCAATTGCAACTTTGGAAGACCTTCCAAAAACGCGTTTGATTGCTATGTTAAAGTTATTGCAAAATATTGGTTCAGAGCTGGTACACAGGAATGTGCTTTTAGAGGTGCAAAATACGATGAAGTTTCCGGTAAGTGACAATCAGTTGAGGGGAACAATGATCACGCTTGGACATTTGTACAAGCAGACACGGGAAGAGTTGATGGATTTATTGTTCAAGGATATTTTTCCTGATCGATGTGATGAGGGATTCACGAATGGCACAGTGAGACATTACAGAGAACAATTGTACACTTTGAGAATTTTATTGGCGAATGTCATTGATGCCCATTCGCCAATGCAATTTATGAAGGAGATCGAGGATGTGAAAATGGAATTGAATGCTCTTGCGAGCATAAACAAGGAACATGAGACAAGATTGCATGAGGTGCTGCTTGCGTTGATTGAAGCACTGAAGCGTCCGTGTCGTAAGTGTGGCCGCTTATTAAGCCATTTGAGAAGGGGGGATCATAACATGTTTAATGATTTGGCGGTTGTTAGACGTAAGTGTGACAACACGACAAACCTTTATCTTGATGGAGATGCCATTGTTGATGAGCGACAGCAGTTCGCAATGGAAGAAAGGAGGAGGTAACTTCGTGGAGGTAACTTCGTGGAGGTAACTTCGTGGAGGTCACGATCTGGATGAGTATTGCAATTTGTTTTTATGATTCACTATGAAGTGAATCGTATTCAAGCAATAAAATTAGGAGTGGATTATGTTAGACTAAAGAAAGTAAAATGAGCGGTTAATGTAGGATGGGTGATAGTGACGTGGAGTATGATAGTTATAGAAATGTTTCGATTTAAGTAGGATGGATAATGGTATTTGAAGGATTTTGCAATAAAACAGTTAAATTTGGCTTTGCTCTCTTTC